ACTGGGTACGAGTGTAATTTACACGTTGAAGGCTGGTCATACCGCCTAGTTTTACGTAGTTCGAGCAATTGGTGAGCTGGAGTGCAGCATAAATTAGTAGACGGAGCTTCTGCACTATATTAACTTCTCCAGTAACTCTCTAAGTGTTAGGTTCAGTGGTAGCGAAGGCCATCCTCTTGACATCTTTCAAAAGTCTTAGAGATTCAATGAAAACAAGCACATAAGAACCGTTTTGTAAACTTGTATGACAAAGGAATGGAGAAGTATTTCGGGAAATTAGTGCGGAAGTCTCCGCGTTAGTTTTTTTTCGTTTTGAAAGTTTTTTTACCATTTTTGGGACTTATCTGCAGAAAAAAGGGGAAGAAATACTATTATTTAAGCGCGTGTGCAAGGTGCTTTTGTCATGTCTAAATTACATTCCAGGTCCACTTTCAGATTTTCTGGATTCTTTACAGCTGCTTGGGTACTTTTTCAGTTTAGTAGGGATGCATGCAGTGTGTCTAAAACGGAAAAGTTAATCAAACTGGTGCTACGTCAGTAGCAAATTCAATATGTTCTGACTGAAAGGGTGAACTCGTGCCATTCAATAATTAGAGTTAAACAAGCCCAAAAGACGACATTTTATTCCAAAATGAAAAAAGGAATTAGTAAAAGTCAAAAGGAATGATAAGATTACTGAAATAAAAAGAAAGCAGTCTCCACTGAATGGCACCTTACTGAGCACGGCAAAGGAATTTTGAATACGATATGACAGGAAAAACAACTTGGAGTTTTAATTGCTGTATTTTGTGTGAGTATCCACTAGTTACAAAGGATCTCGAGGATTTGCAAACTGTGAATACCACTTCCCCCTTGAAAGCACACTTATAAGCAAAAATCCTGACTCCACACTACCAACAGTCACCTGCCTACCGAATTGCGACCTTCAGTGGCACAAAGTACTAACTTGAATAGCCCACACTGTAATTACTATCATTTCGAAGACAGGTTCTGCTGCGAAAAAGGTCACACTGAATATTCACTACACTACAGCAGTTTGCCTTCTTGTCCTGGCCGCAAATGTGGGCGTGTTCACCAGCAGTTGAGGTAGAGTCCCAGCGTGGTTGCTTGTGAGAAACTGCATATAAGGAGTAGTCGCAGCAGACCAACAGTCATTCTGCAGTGAAGTTTTCATTATGTCTGGCCGCGGTAAAGGAGGCAAAGGTCTTGGGAAAGGAGGCGCCAAGCGTCATCGTAAGGTTCTCCGTGACAACATCCAGGGGATTACGAAACCAGCTATCCGTCGTTTAGCTCGACGAGGTGGTGTAAAACGTATCTCTGGTCTTATCTATGAGGAAACTCGTGGAGTACTGAAGGTTTTCCTGGAGAATGTGATTCGTGATGCCGTTACTTACTGCGAGCACGCGAAGAGGAAGACTGTTACAGCGATGGATGTTGTGTACGCTCTGAAGCGACAAGGCCGCACCTTGTACGGTTTTGGAGGTTAAACTGCTTCTTGGTGCTGCATTCAAATTTTAACCCAACGGCCCTCATTAGGGCCACAAGCATTTAAATCAAACCATCCAGCCCTTTGTGGGATGGAACCTAGTGATTGCTGTCTAGCATGGCAGTTTGCGTCGTTGAGGTTGTTAATCCTGTAACAGATTGCATAATAAGGTAACTGTCGAGGAGGGTCGTGGATATAGGGAGTTTGTTGGGCTTTGGGGATGTAGAGTCCAGGCTGCTAGCTTTATTAAAAGTTTCCCGCAAGTAGTAGGATAGGCAGTAGATGCCATAAGCGACCTGCTGGCGGTATCTGTACGGCTCGTGGCGTTTGTTTTTGCCGGAAAGTTTGGCAGCCGAGTAACTAAAGAAGTAAGAGTCAATGCTTTGTTAAAGGAGTGTGATTTCCCTGTTGGCCTTTTTCAAGAGTTAAAATTTATAACTGTTTCCGTAGATTCTATTAAGTACTGTGAGGTATAAGAGTCATTGAAAAGTTGTTCCGTTAAGGTTCTTAACGACGGAGGAGCGAGAACGTGGGGTTTAGGATGGCTTGGTGAGGGACATACAGCTGTGTGAAATTTGCTGGTAGTTCCTCGTGGTGACGAATTTACTGTCAAACCTGGCATTGGGAATTGTAACCACCTCGGAGAGTTAATTTTTTTAAAATGGCGTCTTGGCATACTTCCATAATCAAAGAAATTTTTTGAAGTGTCAGCTGTTCTAGAAAATTTTTAGCAGAATTTTCTCCTTTGCAGTTTTTGCTTTCGTGTAAGTCGTCGTGACCTAATATTACAAAAATACTTTGGTAGATACCAAACGGAAATAGAAGTTCCGTTTAGTGCTTCTGTCGGATTGGCCGCGTTTTCTAAGGTGATCGTTTAGCAGTCTCTCAAGTCATCATTTGGGTAAAAATTTCATCCTGTCTGACCGCGTGCCCATCCAGTAGCTCTGTTGGATTTGATGAGATTCTTTTACCATGAACAGTGATTGTTAAGCAACAAGTTTTTTTAAAAAAATACCGGAAACGAAGAGCAAGAGTGGCAGGCTGACGGCTGATAAGGAATGTGCTGTGCCATACCTCACATTTATCTAAGTGCCGAGATATGACAAAGGTAGACGGGAAACAGCTGCTTTTACTGTTTCGCAAAGTAGTTCATACAGTGATAAAAGTTCAAAGCGTCTTTTTTTTTTTTGCAGCAGGCTATGTTTGTGAGACTGGGAGTAATCTTTCAAATGTTGAACAGTAAGCACCGAAAGCGCTATTAGCAGCCCAGGTTGTTCAATTTCGTTATACCTTTTTCAAACATCCTTGGCATGAGCGTCTGTCAGCTGAAGCTGTGAAGTCAAATTTAAAGGTCCCAAGCTTCAGTAAACAATGAGATGGTTAAACGAGTGCTTTCGGAGTTAATACTACTGCTTCGGTATACGACCTTACTTCCGACACTTATTTCAGGTTCTACAGATAAAGGCTGTCTTTATTGACTTTCTTTGAATGTCAAGCAATGTTAGTGAAATAAGTTTTAAAAAAAATAGTTTTGATATCCTCAGGCTAACGGTGAACGTTTGCGTCAACAGTTTCCAGACTGATCCTACCGTCCATATCAATCACAACCAAATAATATACAGTTTCAGTGCAATAATAAAAAAAAAGAAACCAACGGGCTGTGTGGATGCAAATGTATGCTCTTTTTAGAGAAGTAATGCTAATTATGTCAGTTTCCTGCCTTTCTTTCGACTGATACCTATTAAACATGATGTTGAAACCAGCGGTTCTGAGTGAACAGTAATTTTCCTGGTTAGAAACTGCTACTGTAACGACTCCCTCCAAATCTCAGCAATGACTTCCTAGACCAGAACTTCAAAATTGAACTATTTCTCCACTGATATTGCAACTGGCAAATGCAATAATACTTTCTTAACGAGTTAAATCAGCCCCTTTGAACGGCAAGAACTGTCCTGCTTATAGGACACTGTAATTGGCCCTCAAAACATGGCCCTCGAAATCAGTGACGGTGGCAAACATACAGGTCCTTCAACTCAATCAGTAACCTTGCTCCATTTCTCCCAGTGACTGACAACAGCACTTTCCCCCTCCTGGATAACTTTGCCAGCGTGAAATCCTTAAAAAAATTTCTTAAAATTCATCTGGCTAGCATTCATTAGCGCTACACCTCACATCCTCAACACTTGGATTTGACTGACAAGAAATTTTCTAAGTCTAGCAGAATTGACAACCACACCAGTGTTGAGAGTTTCTCACTAGGACCAGTCCACAAAGAAACAGCCTTTTGCTAGTGCGTAAACTACTAGAACATCTGAAAAAAATTTATGCTGTGCAATTTAACAGACTGTCAGCAAAGTATTCGCAGCAAATAGCACTACAAAACTGTTCGCAACGAACAGGGTTCAAGCCATAAAGCACGTCACCTATTAACCCATTCTCAGCATTAGCGTCCCAAATTAAGTCAGCTTTCAGAAACTGCAACGCAAGTCTTCAAACTTCTAAACTCACTGTTTATTTGGCGGACGCAATGCAAGCTATCCAACTATATTTCGCAAATGTGCTCCATTAGCAAATGTCAATTTTCTTTCAAGCTTACTGGCTGAAATACGAAAAAAACACTAATACCAGAAAGAAAAGAGCTCAAAATCTCCTCTGACATACAACCCACACCTTTAGTCACACAAATCAGAAGGACTAACCACATTTAAACACCATATGATTACGAAAACTAAATGTATGCAAGGAAGCCACTGCAAAAGTGCCCAAGACTCTTCCTTTTTTCAGCTCAACTCCTTAAGCAACTCCGCTCATGCGTGCACAAAAACTAACTCCACTCGCTTGTACTTCAATAGCGACGTTGCTCTTAAAGCAGTGGTAACAGTTTTGTAAAAAAAGTAAACTACTCTAAAATGACTTCCTGCAGAGCTATTTCCAGAGACAGGGAATAAACAAAAAAATAAAGTAAAATAAGTCACTTTTTCCCCGTACTCAGACAAAGACATAAACAACTGTTCAGAAGGCCTAAGCAAATTTCACATCTGCTCCAAACACTTAAACGGCATAAAACTACTCAAGAAACGGGCAAATAGATGCCGAAATTCCTCCCTGTTTTTGATTAAACAAAAATATACAAATGGCAGAAACACAGAAGCTTCGCATAAAACAAGAACCGTCAGTGCAGATCATTTCATCCTACGACCCACGAATAAACAAAAAATAAACTGTGACATTGTTTTTTCCTCTCAAGCAGAAACGCTAGGTTTTATAAACATAAGACAAAATAAAAAAAATAAAAGAAAAAAAACGATAGACTTTATTTACAAACACAAACTCCGACCAAACCGCCTCACCACTTGAAATCTTAAAACAAAAAAAAAAAACTACCAAGTCCACACCTACAACCCAAATACAGGAGAGTACATCAGGTGCTGGGAGAGAACCAATCTCCGAAAAAAAGTCAAAAAATCTACAAACTGACAACCCTCAGCACAATTCACTGCAGAAAGTGAAAAAACAACAACCGCTATCACAGAAACCCTCGAAGGCTTGATTTACTTACATGTGGCCCTAATGAGGGCCGTTGGGTTAGTTTCATAGAGCTCATAACGAGATCTACTTAACATGCTCACGGCTTTTCTGCAGTTTTCTTGGGCAGCAAAACAGCCTGGATGTTTGGCAAAACACCACCTTGCGAGATGGTCACTCCTTGTAAAAGTTTGTTCAGCTCTTCATCGTTCCTGACTGCCAGTTGGAGATGTCGTGGATTTATTCTAGTCTTCTTGTTATCCCGAGCAGCATTGCCTGCCAACTCAAGGACTTCAGCAGCTAAGTATTCCAAAACAGCCGCAAGGTAGACAGGAGCACCTGCACCCACGCGCTCAGCATAGTTTCCTTTGCGGAGCATCCGATGAATACGGCCAACGGGAAACTGAAGCCCAGCCCTCGACGAACGAGACTTAGCTTTACCGCCAGACTTAGATTTGCCTCCTTTGCCACGTCCAGACATTGTCCGAGTTATGACCGCTACGAACTCTTCACGAACAAGATCGTAATAGGCTGGACGCCTCAGTGTCGTCTTATATAGTAAGCGCACAAGGGGTGGCCCGCTGCTCTCCCGCCGGTTCAGTTTTGGCGCCTATGCTGTGTTATCAAGAGTGCGGTAGTGTAAGCTGTAGACTACCTATGCGCGACAAGAACAATCGGTTTCATTTTGACAGGCAGTAAAAAGACTTTTACTCAGGATTTATAAAAAATCCTATCACTCAGGCGAATACTTGCACTCACTAATACAGTAATAGTCGAAAGATGCAAAAATCCTAGCATAACTGCAGTACCATTATTTCAAGATAATTTGCTATCGCCACAATCAAATGTAAAATCTTTAAAGGAAAAACAAAAAACTTGTAGAACTCGTGCCTGCGGTTCCGAAGGATTTCTCAGGAGTTCCCCTCTACCATCATAGCAAACGATTCAATACCTGAATCCAATTGTGCAACAACAATCGTCGTTCGTGCCATATTGGCGCCAAGTCTATGGCGCCACTATATAGTGAATAGGCGGCGTCGCTGCAAACAGCGCTATAAATTGCTGGTGCGCGATAAATTCGTTACCATTGGTGTTTGTTTTAGCAGTCATCAACGTCTACCATGCCTCCAAAGGTTTCTGCAAAAGGTGCTAAAAAAGCGGTCAAGGCCCAAAAGCCGAGAACTGGCGACAAGAAGAAGAAAAATCGGAGAAAGGAGTCCTACTCGGTCTACGTTTATCGTGTTCTGAAGCAGGTCCACCCTGACACCGGAATCTCTTCGAAGGCGATGTCAATCATGAATTCTTTTGTCAACGATGTTTTCGAAAGGATTGCTGCTGAGGCTAGCCGGCTTGCCCAGTACAATAAAAGGTCCACAATTTCATCTCGCGAGATCCAGACTGCAGTCAGGCTCATTTTGCCTGGAGAACTTGCGAAGCATGCAGTGTCGGAAGGCACCAAGGCTGTTACAAAATACACCAGTTCTAAGTAGATCTGAACGGTTTTCCGGGAGGCTTTGCATCACAATAACCCAACGGCCCTCTTTAGGGCCACAGATTTGGGAATCAAATGGAAAACAGTTGCTTGATTTCCTTTTTGTTTTTTGGATGTACAGTTACAAAGGGGTTTTTTGCGTGCATGAAACATGACATTTAGGGCTTTTTTTTGTGAGAGGCACCCGATTTTCAGTAGGTCAGAATCTGGGGAGTGGTCTAATTAGTCCAATCTCACGGTAGTCTAGTTAGTCAAATCAGCAGTGGTGTTGCTACAATTCAATTGAAGAGGTCAGGTACTTATAGATGTTAACGGCAACGGAATTTCAAGTTCATTCGTTGTGGAAGAGGTGGGATGAAGAGTGGATGCGTGTATTTTTTTTTGCTAGGTGTCTTTATGCAGTTACAGTTCTCTCGGTTTCGCTGTTTAGTGTTTGAAGCTAAGAAACTTTTTAGTCCATTTTACCACGCCGCAGTACCGTAAGAATTGTTTTGGTTGAAGAAAGGTCTAGTTTAAAAAGATGAGTCCATGAATTCTTATGCGATTTTTTGCAGTTTTGCTGTACGTCAGAGGTAAATAATTGCTTGGGCTTTCAGTTGACAAATGACTATGATGTTCGCGCAAGTTCTCAACCAGGTAGTAAGCTGCTTGAGTGACTATGTTTGTTCAGAATGGGGATGCCGTCGAGCACGGAACAGGGCCTGGCCAGGAAGAGATGTCTGAAATGAATTTATTGGTTTCTTAGTTCAAAGTAATCTTAAAGCCATTCGTTCCTGTTAATTATGAATAACACCGATGTATTTTTTTCTGTTATCTTAATGCCTCGTCTGGACATGTTGCTCTGTGAAAAAGAAGTTTGTTGTGCTGCTTGTAGTTCAATGACAATAAAGCTGTATGAAGTGCTATACGTAGTGCCATCCTAAAGCGTTACGCCATGAAAAAACAGTAAGGATAAGCCTTATAACGAGGAACGAAGCGATAGAGGTACTCCAAAAAACGATGTGTTACTTTTTTTAGTTTTGCTCCTCTAGCTATGATATTAGGCTCAACAAGCGGATTAGAGCGACTTTCAACCATCGGGAATGCGTCACGACACAAATGTTTCAGGCGGTGGGGAACCCGTTGCACACTGAAGGTGGTTACAGAATTCCTTACTTTCTTGATGAGTCGCTAATGTAAGTAGAAATCCTGATACTGAGCACCGAAGTCGGAGAATCTCACGGTAGTCTACTTAGTCTAACCTTAAGTGTGAGCTGGGCTCACTTAGTTGTGCACGAAAAGATTTCCACGCAAGATATATTGAAGAAATTTTGACTGAATAGAAAGAAAACAAGCTTTTAGAAACTCGGAAATAAATCTAACCTTAGACAAGTCTCCTGAGCAAGCACCTGTAAAACACATGTTTAAATGTGTGGCCTCGGCATACAAGACTCAAAAACTGTTGATGCTTTTATACGGCAAAACTCGTCTTTTATCCAAAAAAATGCCACCGTCTAACCTAACTTTACTGACTCCGGAAATGTGAGCTTTCTCACAGCCTCTGCACTTATTCCCAAAGAAAAAAAAAAAACTAAGTCCAAAAATGGGGCAAAATTCGAAAAAGAACTGCTGTATTACCTGTCGTATGGTAGCCACCAAATTATTGAAAAGGCTAATATAGAGTTTTGCTTAACATTAAATCTTTATTATTTGAGACATTGACCAGACCTTGCGGTTTAGTCTCGCGTAAAAAATAGAGCAGTGTCAAAAATCTCAAAAAATAAAGACCAAGACAAATTAGGAATATGCGAAAGATCAGATTCTGAAATGCTAGTGTGGAGTTGCCTGGAAATAGTCCTGAAATGGATTCCCGCCTTCATGCAAAATAACTCCTCATTAATAGTCGGAGATGCTGAACAGTAGTTTCGCTGTGAAGAATGCAGTTAAGAGCACAGAATTTCAAGAAATTAACACCTTTCATGTGCTATTGGTTTTTTGGAAGCAACGACGCACCAATGAGCGACATTATACAAAACCCTACTACCAACACGACTTGTGCTTTGAAACCGTTTGGGCGCATATCTGGTTAAGGGCTCCCACCCACCGCATTGTACTGCCAACCCACTTTGGCGCCTATCACATTTGCTTTTGCCAACGGTCTTACGGGGGTCTCAGCGTGGCCGCTCACGAGGAACCGTATATAAGGAATGGTCGCAGCAGGCTAACCGTCATTCTGCAGTGAAGCTCTTGTCATGTCTGGTCGTGGTAAAGGTGGTAAAGGCCTCGGAA